TTGCATGACTTTGTATATTTCATTCCATTCCCTTCTTGCCTGATGTGTTTCTGTTGAGAAATCGGTCACTAGTCTGATGGGGGATCCTTTGTAGGTAACTTTCTGTCTCTCTCTGGCTGCTTTTAAGATTCCTGCTTTGTTGTTGGTGTTTGCCAATTTAATTATTATGTGCCTTGGTGTCGGTCTTTTCGGGTTCATTTTGTTTGGGACTCAGTGAGCTTCTTGGATTTGTGTGAGTTTTTTCCTCCCTATATCAGGGAAATTTTCTGTTACTATTTTTTCAAACAGGTTTTCTATTCCTTGCTCAGTTTCCTCTCCTTCTGGCACGCCTATTATTCGGATGTTGTTTCATTTAGCATTGTCCCAGAGTTCTTTTAGGCTCTCCTCCTGCTTTTTAATTTTTTTTTCTAGAAGCTGTTCTGTTTGGGTATTTTTTTCTACATTGTCTTCTAGCTCGCTGATGCGGTCCTCTGCTTCTTCTAGTCTACTGTTGATGCTTTCTATTGAGTTCTTTATGGCAGTGATGTCATTTTTCATTTCTTCTTGGTTTCTCTTCATTTCCTCTTGGTTCTTCTTCATTTCCTCTTGGTTCCTACACATATTGTTGAATTGGTCTTCCATTCTTTTCATCCACCTTATGACCATTACTCTGAATTCTTTCTCTGACAGGTTGCTTGCCTCCATTGCCTCCATTTTGTTTACTTCCTTTTCTGATGATGTCTGTTTTTCTTTCATATTTGGGTTGGTTCTTTGTTTCACCATGATTTCTCTTCTCAATGTGTTTGGTTATGTAGTTCTCTCTCTGCTGCGCTGACTCAAAGGCACAAAATACAACACAACAAGGCACAATGTACAAGGCACTGAACTACATGCATTCACGATATTAATAACCCCAAATAAAGGTGACCCCCCGAGTGAAGAGAATTAGGGGGTAAAGAAGAAAAAAGAGAAAAAGATTAAATAGAAAAATAAAAAACAAAAAGGAGTGCCGAAATGAGATTGGGAAAAGGGAGAGAAGAAAAAAACAAAAAGACAAAAAAAAAGTAAGAGAATGAAATAGAGGTGGGGAAGAGGCTATTTGTATGGGGAGAGCGAGGGATTGGAAATTAGATATATAAGTAGGGTGAAATTTAGACAGTGGGTAGAAAGAAGGAATAGGTAAAATCCAAAGCAGGAATAGGGTAATAGAAACAGGACAACAAAAAGGGAAAAGTGAGGAAGAGATTTTTGGCTTAAGGGTAAATGTGATCTAGAGAGAAATGATGCTAAGGGAATGATGACAATAGAGTGTAGAACACTAATCCCAAAATAAAATAAAGAAAAAAAAATAATAAAAAAAAAATGACACTTGAAAAAATGGTAAAAGGATAGCAATAATACTGGTTAAAAAAATGTAGTAATTAAAAAGATAAAATCAGGTGATGAAAAAAATAAAAAATAAAAATAAAAATAAAATAGGTTCTTAATGAAATGGTGAAAAAAGAATTAAAAATATATATATAAAAATATTCGGAAGTGAAGGTGCTTCAGATCTTCCACTCTTCTTTTTGGCACGCCTCAGTCCTGCCAGGCATTCAGGGGAGTGTTGAACTTCCCTGCGATACAATGTCCCTCTGTGCAGTAAACCACAGACCTGATTTTAAGGCAGGTTGTATTTGTTTACCAGACTGCCTTTATTTGTGATCGCAGAAGAGACAGTTCGTGGCTCTGCCTCTGGGTGGCAGTGTGTCTGGATTGACCTCTGAGGCTATAAGTCCTCTCTATCAGTAGGGTTTTGTTTTTTTGTTTTTTTTCCTCTATGGTATTTGGAACTGATTCGGGAAAGACCACTGCCCAGAGCTGGTTCCTTGCCACTGTCTGCTGTTTCCCAGGCTCCCCAAAAAGAACTTTCCCCTACAGGCTCTGCGAATGACCCCAACTGGGGAATCCCATGCACTGGGTTTAATAATCAAATGCACGGATCAAAGGGGAACTGTAACAAGAGCCTGATAGTTGTGCAAATTCGCAAGCCTCCACCTTCCAGGTCTGCACACAGTCTCCGCGCGCCCACTCACCCCTGGCACCAAGCAGCCAGCAGATTGGCAAAGTCCAAGGCTGCTCCTTTACATCCAGTCCAGCTATGGGCTCATTTTTCGCATTCCCTTCTGCCAGCAGCCCTGTTGGGCCCTTTCCCCACTCGCGGGTCACGCTGGTCCCAACGGCTGCGGACTCTGTGGGGCGCAGATTCCGCCCCGCGCGTGCGAGCTTGGTCCTCCCTCCAACCCGAACTGCAAACCGCACCTTTAGGGGATGTCCAACCTTTCCGTGAGAAGAAGCAGTACTCGTCTGAGGTCAGGCAGTCACGCTGCTTGAGATCCCTTGTTTCCAGGTTAGTAGCTGGTCTCTGGATGCCGGCAACAACCACCCAAGATGGCACAGTCTCCGCTGCTTAGCTGGCGCACCAGGAGAGGCTTCAGCCGCAGTCTCCAACCGTCCTTTTTTTTTCCTGGGGGTTCTCGGTCTTTCCTAGCTGCAGACAGTCTCTCAGCTGAAAATCCTCTGCCTATTCGGGCTGCATGTTACCCGTTTCAGCTGCTCACCCTTATTTGCTCCAGGACAAGGGACACGTCCGTTTATACCTCCGCCATTTTCCCTCCCTTACCTTTTATTTCTTTTTCTTGTCTGATTTCCATGGCTAGCACTTCCAATACTATGGCAAACAGGATTGGTGAAAGTTTGGATCCCGGTCTTGTTTCTGATCTTAGGGGATTGTTTTAATATTTTCCCATTGAGTATGATGTTGGCTATAGGTTTGTCAAATCAGGCATTTATTATGTTGAGATATGATCCCTCTATTCCTAGTTTGCTGAGAGTTTTTATCAAAAAAGGGTGTTGGACTTTGTCAAATGCTTTTTCTGTATCAATTGATATGATCATGTGGTTTTTGTCTCAGTCTGTTTATGTGATGTATCACATTTATTGATTTGTGGATATTGTACCAGCCTGCATCCCCAAAATAAATCCCACTGGGTCATGGTTTATGATCTTTTCAATGTATTGCTGGATGTGATTTGCTAATATTTTTTTGAGGATTTTGGCATCTATGTTCATGAGGGATATTGGCCTGTAATTCTCTTTCTTTGTAGTTTCTTTACCTGGTTTTGGGATTAGGGTGATGCTGGCTTCATAGAAAGAGCTTGGAAGTGTTCCTTCCTCTTAAATTTTTTGGAATAGTCTGAGTACAATCGGTGTTAGTTCTTCTTTGAATGTTTGGTAAAACTCCCCTGTGAAGCCATCCAGACCAGGGCTTTGATTTGCTGGAAGTTGTTTTTGTTGTAGTAGTTGTTGTTTTTACTGCTTCATTTTCATTGGTTATTTTCAGCCTATTCAGGTTTTCTCATTCTTTCTGATTGAGTTTTAGAAGATTGTATTTTTCTAGGAATATGTCCATTTCATCTAGGTTTTCCAGTTTGTTGGAATAGAGTTGTATGTAGTATTTTTTTTACAATCTTTTGTATTTCTGTAGGATCAGTTATTACTTCACCTCTTTCATTTCTCATTTTGTTTATTTGAGTCCTCTCTCTCTCTTTGTTTCTTGGTGAACCTGGCTAGAAGTTCATCAATCTTGTTTATCCTTTCAAAGATCCAGCTCTTGGTTTATTGATCTTTTGTATCTTTTTTTTTTAGGTCTCTATGTCTTATATTACCACTCTGATCTTTATTATTTCCTTCCTTTTACTTAGTGTAGGCTTTTCTTGTTGCTCTCTTTCTAGTTCTTTAAGTTGTAGGATTAGATAGCATATTACCAGTTTTTCTTCTTTTTTTTTTTTTTTTCTTTTTTTTTTTTTTTTTCTTTTTTTAGGTAAGCCTGTAGATCTATGAACTTCCCTCTCAGGACTGCTTTCATTGTGTCCCATAGATTTTGGATTGTTGTGATTTCATTTTCATTTGTTTCCAGAAAGTCTTTTTTTTTTTATCTCTTCTTGGATCTCTTTGGTAACCCATTTATTGTTTAATAGCATGCTATTTAGCCTCCATGTATTAGATTGTTTTTATTGTAGTTGATTTCTAATTTTATGCCATTGTGGTCTGAGAAGATGCTTGATATTATTTCAATCTTCTTAAATTTGTAGAGGCTTTGATTGTGTCCTAATATGTGTTCTATCTTTGAAAATGTCCTGTGTGCTCTTGAGAAGAATGTATATTCCATACCTTTTGAGTGAAATATTCTGAAGATGTCAATTAATTCCATCTGATCTAGTGATTTGTTTAGCATTGCTGTTTCTTTGTTGATTTTTGTCTAGAGAATTTATCCAGTGGTGTCAATGGGGTACTAAAGTCCCCTACTATGATTGCATTGCTGTCGATCTTTTCCTTGATATCTTCCAGAAGTTTTTTTATGTATTTGGGTGTTCCTGCATTGGGTGCATATATGTTTACCAGAGTTATATCCTCTTGATGAATTGCTCCCTTTAGTATTATGAAGTGGCCTTCTTTATCTCTTGCTATGGCATTCACTTTTAGGTGTATTTTGTCAGATATAAGTATTGCTACCCCACCTTTTTTTCATTTCCATTTGCCTGAAAAATATTTTTCTGTCCCTTGACTTTCAGTCTGTGTGAGTCCTTTGTTCTGAGGTGAGTCTCTTGTAGACAGCATATATATGGTTCATGTTTTCTTAACCATTCAGCTACCCTATTTCTTTTGATTTGAGCATTTAATCCATTTACATGTAAGGTTATTATGGATAGGTGCTTGTTTGTTGCCATTTTTACTCTTTATGCCTCTATTCCTTCTTCTCTTTCTATATATTCTTTTTTTGGCAGTCCCTTTAGCATTTCTTACATTGCTGGCTTGGTGGTAATAAACTCCCTTAGCATTTTTTTTTTTTTTGCCTGCAAAAGTCCTGATATCCCCCTTAAATTTTGAATGATAGTCTTGGTGGGTAGAGTATTCTTTATTTCAGTCCCTTGCTTTGCATCACTTTGTATACTTCATTCCATTCCCTTCTGGCATGATGTAAAAATATGGAATGCTTCACGAATTTGCAGGTCATCCTTGCACAGAGGCCATGCTAATATTCTCTTTATCATTCCAATTTTAGTATTTGTGCTGCTGAAGTGAGCTCTGGGGTTTATTTCTAATAAATGGATTTATGAAATGCTATTAAACACAGCTCACTAAAAATACTTTCACTAAAGTGTGCATAAGTGTATTTTTCATTCTTACCATAATAAATGTCATTAGTAAACCTAAAACAACAACCAAAAAATTTATCCAAGAAATAAGTAAAAATACCCAGAGAAGTAAATCCCCTTACAAGAAATATTCTAAATCAGTACTTTCAGATAGCATTTATAAAGTAATTGTCACATGTCAGGCACTATGTTGGTCATGTTGTCACACAGTATCTCATTAAATCCTCAAAACAATTAATCTAGCAGGATGTAATCCCTATTCTGCCAAAGAAAAAACTGTCTAAGAGAGGTGAAAAACAGGCTTTCCAAGAGCACAGCCAGCTTGAAGCCAAGGCTGTAAAAAGTGTCTTCCTACTACATTAGAACTACACTAGAGAAATATGTTATTTAAAGAAACTCTGTGTTACTCTTTTAAAGAAAATAATAACTTATTATGTCATTTATCTCCCCTTAAGTTCCTAATTTTGTAAAGTTTGGGTTTTTATACAGCAGGTTTTCTTCAAAAAACAGCCACCTATATTTTAGAAGCCTTTCAAGAAATAAATTGTCCCCTGAAATTGCTCCTTACAACTAAAGCTACATGATTAAATTACCTAACACAGCTACTGTTCATGGAAAATGGTGGTTCCAACAGTGCACATATTTCACATTTGGTAAATGTATTTTAAAATTTCCTCTGGTTTTCCAGAAATAATTAGCTACTTTCTATGTTGTGATTTGTGGAATGTTGGCTTTTTAAAAGGATATATAACCACTTCATAAGTTATGTCCAAGTTTTACAAGGGCAAAGGGGAGAGGATAATGGGATCCATCTGTAATAGTGTCCACAATAAAAATAAATAAACAAAAAATAAAGACAAATGTATTTGGATCAAAAAAGGATACCATCTTAATACCTTCATGAATCAAAATTCATGTAATACCATTAAATTCTCTAACCCTTAAAATGCTGGTTAATGGGGGAGAAACTAAGATGGCGGCATAGATAAACACCGGGAAATTGCTGCTTCCCACAACAATCGATAAATGCCTCAAAAACACAAGGTGGACATCATCCAGAACTACAGGAGGGCTGGCTGAGTGTAAATTCTACAACTAGAAGGAAATAAAAGCACACTGCGAGCAGGAGGAGCTGCGGAGGTGGAGTGCAGAGGTACGGGGGCTCGTGCGGAAAGGGTCTGGCACCTGAGGACGCGGCTGTCTTTTTGAATCCGGAGGGAGACACAAGCTCCCGACGGCTCTGAAATCCGGTTCCGGGAAGTCTCTGGGGACCCAGGACTCATACAGGGAGATACTGGACTGTCTGGCAGCGGGCGAGCTTGAGAGCGGCTTTCCCTCAGAGGTGCTTGCAGCCATTGCCGGGACACTGGGACTCGCGACTCCTTAGGGCAGGGCTGAGGCTCCGCCATAGCTGCTTTCTCCGCCCTTTGATTTCTTGAGGCCCCGCCCCGCCCAAGCTGCGGCAGAGGCTTTGGCATATGAATGCCCCGGCCATTTGCAACCTGTAATTACCTAACCGCAGCCGGGCCAGATAGACCCAGAGCTTCCAAGAGAAGGCCCACGGCCCCACAGCGGCTTTCATTGCTACACAGCTGAGCATCATCAGGGCACTTCCAAACTCCAAAAAAAAAGGAAGGGGAATCTGCAGTTCTCTCCATAGTTCCTGCTGTGTAACCTCAGGCAGAGGCTAAATTAGTACCTCCTTAGATCCAAGAGCCACTGTACCCAGTGGTCAGAGGGGAACCATCCAGATCACAACTCCTCAGATCCATAAGGGACACACTCAGGGTGCAGTCTCAGTGAGCACCAAAGCCCCACTGAAGCAAGTCTTGCCCCAGAAGGGTGTCTCCAGCACAGAAGTTCTCCCACTGCAGACACATCTGATTCTCGCTGCCAATTGCCCTGGAGGTCAATTCCTCCCAGTGATCCTACAACAACCAAGGCATAGCTACAACAAGACGGTACACAAAGCCCATGAGGGGGTGCACCAAGAGTGTCCACCTCAGGTAACTGGGGAGGCTGAGCCACTGGGCCCTACAGGACACCTAGCACACAAAGCCACTCTATCAACACAGGGAAGCAGCCAAAATGCGGAGACAAAGAAACAGGTCACAAATGGCAGAAATGGAGGAAAGCAAACGACTGGATATAGAGTTCAAGGCCACGTTTATAAGGTTTTTCAAGAATTTTATGAAAACCGCCGATAAATTTAATGAGTCCCTCAATAAGTATAGTGAGACCATGGAGGACATGAAAAAGGACCAACTAGAAATTAAGCATACACTGACTGAAATAAAGAATAATCTACGGAGATGCAACAGCAGACAAGAGGATCCCAAAAATCAAGTCAAAGATTTGAAATACAAAGAAACAAAAAATACCCAACAGAAAAAGAAAAAAGAAAAGAGATTCCAAAAATATGAAGATAGTGTAAGGAGCCTCTGGGACAACTTCAAGCGTACCAACATCAGAATTATAGGGGTACCAGAAGAAGAGAGAGGGCAAGATATTGAAAACCTATTTGAAGAAATAATGACAGAAAACTTCCCCTACCTGGTGAAAGAAATAGACTTCCAAGTCCAGGAAGTGCAGAGAACCCCAAACAACAGGAATCCAAAGAGGACCACACCAAGACACATCATAATTAAAATGCCAAGAGCAAAAGACAAAGAGAGAATCTTAAAAGCAGCAAGAGAAAGACAGTCAGTTACCTACAAGGGAGTACCCATATGACTGTCAGCTGATTTCTCAACAGAAACCATGCAGGCCAGAAGGGAGTGGCAAGAAATATGCAAAGTGATGAATAGCATGAACCTGCAACCAAGATTACTTTATCCAGCAAAGCTATCATTCAGAATAGAAGGTCAGAGAAAGAGCTTCACGGATAAGAAAAAGCTAAAGGAGTTCATCACCACCAAACCAGCATTATATGAAATGCTGAAAGGTATTCTTTAAGAAGAGGAAGAAGAAAAAGGAACTCTTACCATTTGCCACAGCATGGATGGAACTGGAGAGCGGATGAATACCACATGATCTCACTCATTTGTGGAATATAATGAACAGCATAAACTGATGAACAAGGACTGATCCAGAGACGGAGAGGCATTGATTGGACTGTGAGGCTTTGGAGGGAGGGGAGGGGAGGGTGGGGGTAAGGGGGAAAGATCAACCAAAGGACTTACATGCAGGCATATAGGCCTAACCAATGGACACGGACAACGGGGGGGGGGGGTGAGGGCATGAGCGGGGGGGGTGGGGTAGAGGGTAACGTGGGGACAAGGACACATATGTAATATCTTAATCAATAAAAATATATTTAAAAAGAAATTCTGGTTAATAATAAGCTTTAAGTACATGAGGTAATTTTCCTCCTTCAGGCAATCAAATAACATTCAAAAGTAAAGTTTATAAGGTTAAATAAGAGAGCAGTATGCACAGAGATGAACACTAATGTGGACATTTCCCATCTAGGCAATGAAGAGTTTTTTAAGTAGCTATCTTAGGATTGTACCAGTTCTATCCATGGAAGATCATAAGGAAACAGAACAGTATTTTTTGAGACTAGACAAAGAGAACAAAAACATATAACAAATCTAATTATATGTGAGAGTAGAGACCAACTTGCCTTGAACATTTTCAAGAATTTAGTGTTTTCTTCATGTACTATGGAGAGTTCCCACTTCTTTAAACAATTTGGTGTTTATTTTCTTGCTTTTACTACACTGACATTCATCATCACCAACATGCCTTTCTCTACCCTCCTTGCATCCTTTCTACTGAGCACATGAGCATTTCAAAATGCTGGAAACACAGGCAGATTTACTGTGAAGCTAATGTAGTTTAAGTTTCAAGACCCATAACTAGAAGGGGCCCTTGCAATTTGTCCACATGGTTATGTGTTATTACAAAGTTTACAAGCTAAGGTATTTTTGTATTATTTTTTAGAAATATACTCCCCCCAAAAAATGTTTAAATGCATTAAGCACCAAAAAATCTGGCTCCCTCTCTGGTTCCAATTGTACAAATATGTGATGTGTCTAAGGCCTTTTCCAAGTCAGCTAAATGGGGGCCAGGTCAAGCCATGAAGAACCTTCTTCATAAAAATTTTTAATCTGCAAAAGAACTTTGAAAAAAAATACTTTGAAAAATAGTCTATAATGGTTCCACATTTTCTTGAATCTTCTAATAGTCCCAATATGTTTTGGAATTAAAAAGCCAATACTCATATATAACCCTTAGTACTGATAGTGTTAAAATTTTAAATTTTTATTTTTTCAAAAGAAAACAATCTTTTTCTTTATGATTGAAAAAATGTCTCACTAGAATGGAGCACATCCTCCACCAGCTGCTGGACTAGGCTCCCTTTTCCAAGAACAGGATTCTTTCCTGTGACTTATTTCTCACTGCTTTGGCATGTCTGTGATGCTGGGATGTATAGGAGTAAAGAGAGGAAATTCCATAGCTGCTGAGCTTCTGGTTTTCTAAACTGCTATTTCAAAGTGAGTGAAGTTCTTTCCAGAAAGGAACTTTAGTAGTTCATGGCATGAATTCCAACTTAGATATGTGATTGAAAGGGAGACAAGTATTCTTTTTGCCCTGATTTCAACACCTTTAAACAGGAGTAGGGGGTGGGAGTGGGCTAGAATGGGTCAGTGGGGAAAAGGGGGGACATATATAATGCTTTCAACAATACAGATTTTAAAAACAAATAAACAACTAGAAGGAGAGTGCTGAGAGACACCAGGTGATATTAATTTGGATATATTCTGAGGTGAATTCTTCCAGGAGTTTTCTCACTGGCCACCAGTTGTCACTTTTATAGCACACACATGGAGACACACAAGCTCACAATTATTATTTTTCTGGCTGCAAACATCAGATCCTTAATGAAGAAAATTCAGTACCTCACACAGTTCATAGAAAGTATAAA